ATAAAATGTTTACTTTCATTAAAAAAAAGTAACAGACAACAAAAAATAAATGTTAAAATCAAACTCAATTGACTCTTTTGGGTGGGTCTCGTGCTGTAGATCATGTATTCAGCAAAATTACAACCAAATATTAACGTCATTTCAGCAACTAAGGGGCATCAATTAAATAGAAATATTTTGTTAATTAACAAAAATTACTGTATATCTGACGATGAGACTTAAGTCATTTAGTTAGAGGGTACCAGGCATGTAAAACTCAGTATTTTAGTACTTTTTGATATCGATAAATAACAAGGTACTCCTACAATATTTTCGATACCTTTTCTAAAATCTATAGTCCAGTGTATAGTCCAGTCTGTTTTCTAGTCTAGTAGTCTAGGTCTATAGTCTAGTCTATTAGTCTAGTCTAGTAGTCTAGTTAGGTCTATAGTCTAGTCTATAGTCTAGTCTATAGTCTAGTCTATAGATAGTCTAGTCTATAGTCTAGTCTATAGTCTAGTCTATAGTCTAGTCTATAGTCTAGTCTATAGTCTAGTCTATAGTCTAGTCTATAGTCTAGTCTATAGTCTAGTCTATAGTCTAGTCTATAGTCTAGTCTATAGTCTAGTCTATAGTCTAGTCTATAGTCTAGTCTATAGTCTAGTCTATAGTCTAGTCTATAGTCTAGTCTATAGTCTAGTCTATAGTCTAGTCTATAGTCTAGTCTATAGTCTAGTCTATAGTCTAGTCTATAGTCTAGTCTATAGTCTAGTCTATAGTCTAGTCTATAGTCTAGTCTATAGTCTAGTCTATAGTCTAGTCTATAGTCTAGTCCATAGTCTAGTCTATAGTCTAGTCTATAGTCTAGTCTATAGTCTAGTTATAGTCTAGTCTATAGTCTAGTCTATAGTCAAGTCTATAGTCTAGTCTATAGTCTAGTCTATAGTCTAGTCTATAGTATAGTCTAGTCTATATAGTCTAGTCTAGTCTATAGTCTAGTCTATAGTCTAGTCCATAGTCTAGTCTATAGTCTAGTCTATAGTCTAGTCTATAGTCTAGTCTATAGTCTAGTCTATAGTCTAGTCTATAGTCTAGTCTATAGTCTAGTCCATAGTCTAGTCTATAGTCTAGTCTATAGTCTAGTCTATAGTCTAGTTTATAGTCTAGTCTATAGTCTAGTCTATAGTCTAGTCTATAGTCTAGTCTATAGTCTAGTCTATAGTCTAGTCTATAGTCTAGTCTAGTCTAGTCTATAGTCTAGTCTATAGTCTAGTCCATAGTCTAGTCTATAGTCTAGTCTATAGTCTAGTCTATAGTCTAGTCTATAGTCTAGTCTATAGTCTAGTCTATAGTCTAGTCTATAGTCTAGTCTATAGTCTAGTCTATAGTCTATAGTCTAGTCTATAGTCTAGTCTATAGTCTAGTCTATAGTCTAGTCTATAGTCTAGTCTATAGTCTAGTATATAGTCTAGTCTATAGTCTAGTCTGTAGTCTAATCTATAGTCTAGTCTATAGTCTAGTCTATAGTCTAGTCTATAGTCTAGTCTATAGTCTAGTCTATAGTCTAGTCTATAGTCTAGTCTATAGTCTAGTCTATAGTCTAGTCTATAGTCTAGTCTATAGTCTAGTCTATAGTCTAGTCTATAGTCTAGTCTATAGTCTAGTCTAGTATAGTATAGTCTAGTCTATAGTCTAGTCTATAGTCTAGTCTATAGTCTAGTCTATAGTCTAGTCTATAGTCTAGTCTATAGTCTAGTCTATAGTCTAGTCTATAGTCTAGTCTATAGTCTAGTCTATAGTCTAGTCTATAGTCTAGTCTATAGTCTAGTCTATAGTCTAGTCTATAGTCTAGTCTATAGTCTAGTCTATAGTCTAGTCTATAGTCTAGTCTATAGTCTAGTCTATAGTCTAGTCTATAGTCTAGTCTATAGTCTAGTATAGTCTAGTCTATAGTCTAGTCTATAGTCGTCTATAGTCTAGTCTATAGTCTAGTCTATAGTCTAGTCTATAGTCTAGTCTATAGTCTAGTCTATAGTCTAGTCTATAGTCTAGTCTATAGTCTAGTCTATAGTCTAGTCTATAGTCTAGTCTATAGTCTAGTCTATAGTCTAGTCTATAGTCTAGTCTATAGTCTAGTCTATAGTCTAGTCTATAGTCTAGTCTATAGTCTAGTCTATAGTCTAGTCTATAGTCTAGTCTATAGTCTAGTCTATAGTCTAGTCTATAGTCTAGTCTATAGTCTAGTCTATAGTCTAGTCTATAGTCTAGTCTATAGTCTAGTCTATAGTCTAGTCTATAGTCTAGTCTTTAGTCTAGTCTTTAGTCTAGTCTATTAGTCTAGTGTATAGTCTAGTGTATAGTCTAGTCTTTAGTCTATAGTCTAGTCTATAGTCTAGTCTATAGTCTAGTCTATAATCTAGTCTATAGTCTAGTGTATAGTCTAGTCTATAGTCTAGTCTATAATCAAGTCTATATTCTAGTCTATAGTCTAATTTATAGTCTTGTATATATTCTAGTCTATAGTCAGGCCTACAGTCTAGTCTATAGTCAAGTTTATCGAAGCTGTAGTCTCATCTATGGTCTGGTTGATAATCGAAACTATATTCTCATCTATAGTCTAGTTTATAGTTTAGTCTATCTATAGTTTAGTCTATAGCCTAGTTTAAAATCTAGTCTATAGGCTAACGGAAAATTAAAATTAGTACTATATTAAAGTTTAAATTTTCCAAGCCTGATATGTAAACAAATAACATCTCTGTAACTGTAATTAAGATTTAAATTGTTGCTTTTAAAAAAATCAATAAAGATGTGCTATGAGGAATTTGATTTGCATCAATTAATAGTAAATATAGTTGTAAACAAGTATATTTAAACGAAATTGTTTAAGAAAACCAACATTGTTAACTGATTTATAATAAGTTGTTACTCTACCAGCTAATACAAGGTACCATTTGTTTACATTTTTAAGCTGTTTACTTGCATGAACTATGTAATGTGGCAACCACATATTAGAGAGAATACTCCTTAGTTGGTTAAACATTTTTAACGCCGTTTGTTGTCATTGTAGTAAATCATGATTGATTAATAATTTATTATTCTTTTATAATTCCTTTATAATTATCAATTATTTATATATATTTGTTTTAAAGTAAACTATTTATTGTTTATATTATTCCCTAATAATTATTTACTTTTACTTTAAAGTTTATTTTATTACTAACAACCTGTAGAACAAACGCAATATAATTTTACTTGTGTTTTGCGAAAAATGAAATTTTTCTTGTTAACTTCTTAAGCTTTTTAATAGAAATTTGCTAAGTTATTTTTGTTTTTAATTAACTTTTATTTTTCTGGTTAAAAACGGAAATTAAGTTTTGTTTACCGTTTGGTATTTGTAAATCAAATGTTATTGTTTGTTTTACTGGGAAATACTGCAGACAATAAATAAAATTTATTAGAAAATAAACAAAGAATTCTTTAGATTTTAAATGGGTCATGAATCATGCAAAACTAAAACGCTTCTTCTTTCACATTCTCTTATCTGCTCCAGATATTGATGGCGTTTATTAGAAGTTTGGATGAAATTGATCGTTTCTTTCACAAAATTCCTAAACAAATACTATAGACTAGGGTTCTATAAATCGACTTTCGAATAATCGAACAATCGACTTTTTCTCGAAAAAAGTCGAAGTCGACTATTTTCTTCCAAAAGAGTCGATAACTCGACTATCGTCTGTGAAAAAGTCGAAAAGTCGACTTTGTGAATAAAAGTCGAAAAAAGTCGAAAAGTCTGAAAGTCGAAAAAAGTCGATAAGTCGAATAAAGTCGAAAAAAGTCGAAGAAAGTCGTAAAAAGTCGAAAAGTCAAAAAAAGTCGAAAAGTCGGAAAAAGTCGAAAATTGTAAAAACAAGTCAAAAATTTAAAAAAGTGGAAAAAAAAGTCAAAAACTCTAAAATAGTCGGAAAAACTCGAAAAAAGTAAAAAGATAGTCGGAAAAGAGTAGAAAGAAGTTGAAAATAGTCAAAACGTCGAAAAAATCGAAAAGTCGAAAAAAGTCGGAAAAAGTCGAAAATAGTCGAAAAAAGTCGAAAAGTCGAAAAAAGTCGAAGAGTCGAAAAAAGTCGAAAAGTCGGAAAAAGTCGAAAAGTCGACTATTTATAAAATACTTATAGTCGAAAAGTCTAAATGTCGACTTTTATTTAAATGAAAAAAGTCGAAAAATCGACTTTTCATAAAATGCAATAAGTCGAAAAGTCGACTTTTAACTAAATAAAAAAGTCGAAAAGTCGACTTTTCGTTTCAACTATAGAACCCTACTATAGACATTATAAATATGATCTGTCAGGGCTGGGTCTCTGTGTATTCAGAATTCTAATTGATTCGTAGTTTAACTAATGTTCCAGATATTTTGAAATGAAATATTTTGCACAATGGCCCCGAGCAGTTAGTTTTAAATATTTTTATCTCAAGTAATCGAATAAACATACCGAATGATTTATAAATTTCGACATTATTCTGTCTTTGTATTAAACTCTTTTACTTCATTATTCATTGTTAACGAATCAGAAAGAATTGTTATGATTTTTTAAACACATGACATACATTTCCCGGTTATTTATGGTATTTTCTTTCCTTTTTTTGTGTTGATAAATTTGACAGGATTAATGTATTCATTAAAAAATTGAGGTTAGATTGTAATTAATGGTAAGGCATAATAAATAAATGTTAAAAATGTTACATAATTAAAACCACAAAAAGTAAACAATATTAACAAAAGAAACTGAAAGGTTATTGAACGTTATTAAACAAAATAACAACAACAAAAAGTAACAAGATTAATAACAGTTATTTTAACGAACATGCCGTTATTAGGCAGAAATATAAATTATAAAGGAAACAAGAAATATTATTTATCCTGTTGGGTTAGCAGCATTGGCATTATTAGCATTAATTTCACAAAATTTCCAGGTTAATTAAAACAAAACAATAAATAAATAAAAAAAACAAAACAAAAAAATCACCTGTTTTTAATATTATCTGGCACAAATATATTCCACCACGAATGGCGTTTTTGTCGGGGAAAATAGGCGGTATGATTGGGATCAACATCTTCATCGGTTATATCGACGGATGAGCCGATGCCTGTTGTACTATCATTGGTCAAATCGCTTTGTGAATTACTCTGTTCGAGAGTGGAGAAACTAACTTCGAAATTCTTACGACGACGTCTATCTAATTTCGTTTGCAATGAACTACGTCTACGACGATTACGTTCTTTATCGTTGGGCGTATCATAGGGACTCGAGATGCCTATGCCCTTAACGACACAACGTATATTGGTGCCATCATCGAAATACGACACTTTGCCGGGTTCATTGGGCGATGAGGCGCGTATATTCTCTTCGGAACTATAAACAACATCCGGTGAATTGGTTGTATTAGAGGCATCACTTTTCTCATGTTTAACAGCGGACTCATAGGAATCTTTGGCTGAATGCTGGAATGAGTTAAAGAAATTTTTGAGGTTAAAAATTAATGTAAACTACAGCTGAGGTGAGTAAAAGTATTTATTTAACTCACCTTATTGCTATCACGTCTTAGAAAAGCCGTTGCTATGGAACTGCGTCTCTTTTGACTCTTATCCGATTTGCTGGAGAACAAACTCAAGGCCAATGAACTGCGGCGCGGTGGTTTTTGTGGTGGCAACTTGGCATTTACATTCTCTGTTATATTCTCCGATTCATCATCATCGGCATGTTCATCGATATCGACCAATGATGGTATAGAGGCACTGGCCCAATCCTTTCTCAAACGATATTTGCCACTATCTATGATACTCATTTTGTTGGGTTTTTTCGAAAGTTTTCGTTGCTCCGTTATTGAAGTTTTAGTTGACGTTTAGTAAATTATAAAAAATTTTTTAAAATTAAGCGCAATCAACCGGGATTCGCTTTATAAGGCTTTCAAAGCTTGACACTCACAAACACACACACTCACACACAATTACGAATGTACGCATACAAAGAAATTAAAACGTCTTTGGCGTTTTTATATGGAAAAAAATAAAAACAAAATTTTAATCTAAAACAAAAAGAAAAGAAAAAAATAATAACTAATTAAAAAATTATAAAATAAATAAAAATTAATGAAAAATATTTAAGTTAAAGTTGTGTTTTTGCTTCAAATCTTTAACTGTGAACAGCCTTAATGTTGTAAATGCTTTTAATTACCCATTTAAAATCAATGCTAATTTATTAACTACTATTTACTCTGTTTTATTATTATTTTCAATTTTAAATTTGTTACACGTTAATGAATTAATACTACACTTAGGCATTTAGTTAAGCCCATTGCATCTGCATCTGTCAATCACCTTTTGTGTAATTTTACACTTGCACGATCACCGTTCGTCATCATCTTTATTATTACATTATAATTATCATTTCTCTAGCCGGGTTAAAACTTACTACCACTAACATTTATATTAAGCATTTCAATCCCCTCTCTCAGTGTAACTTTTAATGCACGTAAACAATAGTCAGAGTCTGTCTGTCACGATGACAGCCAGAGAAAAACAAGTATTTGTTTTATTTTCTTTAATTGAAAGTGATTAGCAGCTGATTATCGTAGTTTTTCAAATTACTGTCATAAATAAAAAACTGTTTTTTTCTCGCGCAAGTATTTTCAACAATTGAAAATTGTTTTGAAAATGAAAGTGTTAGTTTGTTATGATTGTTACATGCTTTATTTCCAATTTATAATGTTAGGTTGTTTGTGTGTTAAATTAGATCAAACATTTTTTACTCAAAATTTAATCAGTTCCCGCAGCCAAGACCTTACCCGAACTATTTACTACTAGTTGATCTCAGTCGCTGTTTAAACTTGACTATAAATCAGTCTATAGTTTTGACTATAGATTAGTCTATAGTCTGGACTATAGATCGGTCTATAGTCGAGACTATAGACTGATCTATAGTTTTAACTAGAGATCAGTCTATAGTATTGACTATAGATCAGTCTATAGTCAGTCTATAGTGTTGACTATAGATCAATCTATAGTCTTAACTATAGATCAGTCTATAGTATTGACTATAGATTAGTCTATAGTCTTGACTATAGATCACTCTATAGTCGTGACTATAGATCACTCTATAGTCTTGACTATAGATCACTCTATAGTCTTGACTATAGATCACTCTATAGTCTTGACTATAGATCACTCTATAGTCTTGACTATAGATCACTCCATAGTCTTGACTATAGATCACTCTATAGTCTTGACTATAGATCAGTCTATAGTCTTGACTATAGATCAGTCTATAGTATTGACTTGACTATAGATCTGTCTATAGTCTTGACTATAGATCTGTCTATAGTCTTGACTATAGATCACTCTATAGTCTTGACTATAGATCACTCTAGTCTAGGCTATAGCTCAGTCAATAGTCTTGACTATAGCTCAGTCTATAGTCTTGGCTATAGATCAGTTTACAGTCTTGACTATAGATCAGTCTATAGTCTTGACTATAGATCAGTCTATAGTGTCTTGACTACAGATCAGTCTGTAGCCTTGACTATAGATCAGTCTATAGTGTTAACTTTATATCGGTCTATAGTCTTGACTATAGATCAGTCTATAGTGTTGACTATAGATCAGTCTGTAGTGTTGAGTATAGATCAGTCTATAGTGATGACTATAGATCAGTCTATAGTATTGACTATAGATAAGTCTATAGTGTTGAGTATAGATCAGTCTATAGTTTTGACTATAGATCAGCCTATAGTCTTGACTATAGTTCACTCTATAGTCTTGACTATAGATCACTCTATAGTATTGACTATAGATCACTCTATAGTCTTGACTAAACTTCAGTCTATAGTCTTGAAAATAGAGCAGTCTATAGTTTTGACTATATATCAGTCTATATTCTTGACAATAGATCAGTTTATTGATCAATCTACAGTCTTGACTATAGATCAATCTATAGTCTTGACTATAGATCACTCTATAGTCTTGACTATAGTTCAGTCTATAGTCTTGAAAATAGAGCAGTCTATAGTTTTGACTATATATCAGTCTATATTCTTGACAATAGATTAGTCTATAGATCAGTCTACAGTCTTGACTATAGATCAATCTATAGTCTTTACTATAGATCAATCTATAGTCTTGACTATATATCAGTCTATAGTCTTGACTATGGATCAGTCTATAGTCTTGACTATATATCAGTCTATAGTCTGGACTATAGATCAGTCTTGGTCTTGACTATAGATCAATCTATAGTCTTGACTATAGATCTGTCCATTCTTGATTATAGACCAGTCTATAGTCCACCAGACCAGACAACAGTCTTTATAGTCTTCACCATAGTTCACTTCTTAGTCTTGACATTCCATGCAACCAATGCAAGAAATGTCGAGAACAAAATTTATTACTTCAAAAATAGTTTTGCGATGAAATTCCACTTATTGTTTCGTGTTAATTCTCATAATTTTAAAAAATTACCCAAAATAATTCCAAACTATCACTAACTAAAGTTATTTTTTAAAAAACCCACTTACGATGTGTAAATTTCTCAGGGGAAACACATTATTTAAAAAAAAATCGCGTGCCAACAAAAAAAATTACAAATCGTTTTTGTGTGACCCATTCTAAGCGTCCTAGAACCATAATTGTTTTAACAAATATCAATTTAGTTTAAGTTTAAATGCATGTTTTACGTTCACATTAATCGTCATAATTCAATTTGTTCTTAAAAAAGGTTTTGTTTTCAGTTAATACTAATTAATGTTAGGAAAAATGAAAATTACAGGCATTATCTCTAGCATCATTGTTTTATTGAGAATTTCACACGAATTTTTTTTGCCATATTTTCATTTAATATCCAATAATATACAGCTGGTGGGGGTAAAAATTATTTATACCCTCTACTGCTAATTCAGTTCATTCACAATAATCTTAATGACTAAGATTTATTTAATACTACTATTTTTTCGTAGTAAAAAATAAGTAAATTGTTTAGTAGTATTAAGTAATAGTATTTAGCATTATGAAAATTATTATTTTGTTATTAATTAGTAACGTAGAAGTGACGTAATTTTAGTCTAATGACCCCATTATTTATTAATGGTTTATAGGTATAATTTTCTATTGTAAATCTTTTTATATAATAAATATAAATGAGTAGGTATATTTTTGTTTTCAATGTTTAGATTATTGCATAAAATTACTGTAATTTTTCAATTATTTAAACACTTGGCAACAATGAAAAAAAGTTAAATCGATGGTGTTAAGTCATTAATAACTCATTCACAATAATATGACTTTTAAAAAAATATCATTTTAGTCACTGATCCATTAATTTTATGACATAATTATATTTTATTAAATTTGTCAATAACCAAGCAGTTATGAATAACAAATTTGAAATAGTTTTATTTTTATTTTTGTTAAGTAGAAATTATTTCCTGTTTTCCTAACTTCTGGCAACTCTATATGCAAACATAAACAAACCCTCAACATATGGCTTTTCATGGTGTGTTGCCAACAATTTGTTTAATTTGTTGTTTATTGTTTTTAAATATATTTTCATAAAAAAAACACAAAATAAATTTGTTTAAATTTGTCCCCAGAGCACTAAATTAAATAAAATATCTAAAAATAAACTTTATATTATGATTTTAATTAATATTTTATTTTGCGTTGAAATTTAAATTCTTTTATTAAACATTCGTTAACTACGTCTTAAAAATTATTTTAATTTAGAGGTTTCAAAAGTTTTAAGTAGTTTACAAGTGGTTTGCTATTTAAAAATAGTTAATTTTTTTTTCTAAATTTATGCTAAAATTTTTAATTTGTTTATATTATGTAGATTTTTTTGTAAACCGAAAACATGATGTAAATTTTTAGGATTTTAAAAGTTAGCTACTGTTGAAAATAAATAAAAGATAAGGGCCGACATTATACGATTTAATAACTATTGGTTTGATGATTAAGAATTTGTAAAAACATTTATAGAATTTATTATTATGACGTTCACTTTGACGTTTAATCAGTGTTGACAACAGTTTTTTACTGCTTTAGAAGACAACACTGTAATACAGACTATAAACGAAACTATAATTCAGACTATTGACAAAGCTATAGTTTAGACCAGTGGTGCTCAAACACATACTACCATAGTTTTATTTGTGTTGGTAAAGCAGCAGAGAACAGAATTCAATTCAAAATAAAAGTATACTAATAAAATGACTACAAACTATAAAGTATATGCTAACTGTCAAATATTTATTATGGATTTTGACAGCCAGCGTATAGCAAGGTCTATATATAAAAAAACTATCAACTGTTCTCTCATGTTCTCCTACATTCATTCGGCTTTCTCAAAATTTTGTTGTTGTATTTCTGTGTGTATTTTAAAAACGTCGCGCACAGACCTTGCTTCGACAAGTGCTGATCAGCAACTGATTTGATTTTGTTTTTCAAGTTGAGAGCAAACCAACTGATATTGCTCATTATAAAAAGAAGAAGAATTAAACCTATAGTGTATGTGTATCAACTTAGCGTCAGCAGAATTTTCTTACCCTATCACGCGTGCTATGACACGGCCATATTGAGCTTCTCTGGTTTAGACTATATGCAAGACTCTAGTCTAGACTATAAGCAAAACTATAGTTCAGACTTTAGCAAGACAACAGTCGCAATATAGACAAAACTGTAGTCCAGACTATAGACAAAACTATAGTCCAAATAAAAGCAAGTTTACAGTCCACAATATAGACAAAATATAAACAATCCAAATGTCCAAAATATAGACATTGACAAGACAATAATCCAGACTATAGTTTGGACTATAGACAAGGCTATAGGACAGACTATAAACTGTGCTATTGGACAGACTAGAGATAACACCATAGTCCAAACTATAGTCCAGACTATAGACAATACTATAGTACAGGCTATTTATGAAACTATAGTCCAGGCTATAGACATAGACAAAACAATTATCCATACTTTAGTATGGACTACAGATAAGATTATAGATCAGACTCTAAAGAAGGCTATAGACAGACTATAG